CTATTACAAGTATTTTTTGTCTGTTAGAATAATAATACATCAGTCATTTAAAATAGCTAATCAACGTTGGTAAAAAAAAACCCAGCAGCTTCTGCACTTCTCTTTACATTCTAATTGGCTCAGAGAGCAAATCTATTATGTGGTTCAGCAACATAGTTGCTTTTGCATAAAGAACAAGTATTCCAAAGTTCAAAAGGAATAGTGCTCTTGTGAATATATAATTTCTATTCCCATCCACACTATATACATAATTGATCCTCAATCTCCAGAGGGTGTTGGGTTTGAGATAAAGGATGCATTAACCCTAAAAATTAAACGATTTTTTTCTTCCAAAAGGGTACTTCTACACAGAAGCAGGATAACTGCAATCTCAGAGCCCAGATCAACAGGCTCATGATATAAAACTAAAAATAGCTCTGTAGACATAAGGATTTGGGCTGCAGCTCAAGCTCCAAAGCAGGGAATGGGTTAGGACAAAAATATGGGTCACCATTACCAGGACTCGACAAATGCACTCGCCCGTGATGAGTAGATTTTGCCAGCTGGCGAGCGCAGGGGCGGACTGGCCCGGAGGGCTGTTGTAACAGGCTGGCCGAAGCCCGCACTACAGGCGGCGCGGCCCCATCCGATCCACCGGCCGGCGGAGGAGCAGAGCGTCGCTGGGAAGGGGGAAGTGCGGCAATTCTTCCCACCGGGCTGCCTGCGTGCAGCTCCAGCGCAAAAAGGCAGGCGGGGCAGGATGCCAGGACGCTGGTGTGACCTGGCCCCGCTGATTTTAAAGGGCCGCAGCAGCTCAGCTCTGGCTGCGTGTCCCTGGGAGCTGGCTGTGGCGCGCGGCGTGTATGTGTTTTGTTTGTAGTGCTGAGTGCACATCAATACACTACCTCAATATTGGTGTTGTACATAAGAAATTTCAACCTGCCCAAAAGAAAATTCAACCTGCCCAAGGATAGAAAAAGTTGGAGGGAACACTGGCCACATGCTGCCAATTTTCCTCCCTGTTCTGCACTGCCCTCTCCGATTCTTCAACATACTCTTTCTGCAGTACCAAATGCTGACTTCTATCCAGAAAGTCTTCATTTTCTCTGATGAATGCAGGGTAGATACTTGTGCCTCTAATTCTTTAACCTTCTCTTCCAGTATGGAGATAGGCTTGCACTTTGTGCAGATGAAGTCGCTTCTGGCGATCCATGCATCCCTCTGGCTTTGTGCCTCCCATTCCCCGCACCACCCCTGTACTCCCCCACTGTTCCCTGCACCCCTCTGGCTCTGTGCTGTCCCTGCAACCTGCTCCCCCTATGGGTCAGGAGTGAAGGGTGCTTGCTCACAGGGAGGGGCTGAACAGGGCAGGGAACAGGCTGCTGTGACCCAGCAGCGAATGAAAGGGGGAGTTCACTTGAAGCGCCTTTGCTTTTATGAAAAAAAAACCCTGAAAATGCTATTTGTTATTTATAGGGCTAAAATGCCGGGACAAAAAAGAAAACAAAAAAAAAACCCCATTGCAAAATGCAAACATGTAAAAGACAACAACGGGGGGATGTTTTGCTTGGGGCAGCAAAAAACCTAGAGCTGGCCCCTGGAGAGGGGAAGGGGCTGGACTGGGCTGTGGGAGGAGGAGGGGAAAAATATGGGGAAGGGGCTAGTGCTGAGGGGGAGGAGGTCAGGAGAAGAAGAAGAAGAAGAAAGGGGAAGGCACCAAGGGACAGGGGTGCAGGAGAGACAAATGCCAGGGGGCCAAGTGCAGACAATGAGGAAAAGGGCAGGAGGGGAGGTGTCAGTGGGAGGGGAACAAGGTGATGCTGGGAGAGGAGAAAGTAAGGGCACTGGGGGCTAGAGGGGGAGGTGCTAGGAGAAGGCTTGAAAGAAGGGGTGGGCATGAGGAAGGCGAAGATGGAGTAAGGCATCTGTGAGGGCACAGGGGCATGAGGGGAACGGGGAAGAGGGTGGTGAGGGGGTGGGTATCAGGGAAAAAGAGAGCAAAGGGGGCAGTGAGGGAAGGGGGAGGCACCAGAAGGGTGGAGGTGCCAAGGGATTCTAGGGGTGAAGCAGAAGGGCAGACACCTGCAGGGGAGGGACCAGCACCAGAGGAGAGAGGCAGGGCAGGTGTGTAGAGGGAGGTTTTAGGAGAGGGGATGAGGAGGGGTAGCTCACGTGATCAGAGTGGGGCTACTGGAGGAGTGGGCACAGAGCGGAGAGAAGGGCTGGCGGAGGGGGGCAGGTCTCAGGAAGGCTGAGGGCAGTGAGAAGGGCAGGAGTCAGGACAGCAGAGGGTGAGGGGTTGGGGGGCAGTAGGCACCAGGGGAGCTGATGGAGCAAGGGGAGGAGACATGGCAGCAGAGAGAAAAAGCAGAGGTTTATAAGATACTTATTAATAACCTGGGTGATATTTATTAATAACTTATTAGTAATTACTGTTCTTATTCTTATTAGGAATTTATGCCATTAAAAAAAAACACTTTGTGGGGGAGCGTAACAAGTCCCTTTTTTGTCTGGCGAGTAGGGTTTTCCATAATTTATCAACCCTTGGCCATTACGTTTTAAAAGGATCACTATCTCCCCAGGTGGCTCTGCCTCTCCTCCTCCCCCCGTTTTTGAACTACCTTGGGTCACCAAGTCTTCCTGAATTGTCAAAATGGGTCCCCATCTCGAAAAGGTTGGGAACCGCTGCCCTAAAGCCTAGAGAGAGGAACAAGCTTGAAAGCCAGAGATCCTGCCTGAATCTGAATGTCTATATGTTTATTTTTAATGCTTCAGCTCAAGCTCCAGTCTGAACACACAGGCTCAGACTCACGGTCATGAGATCCTGCTTGTGATGGAGATGTACCAATCCTGCAGGTGAGTCCATGTAGCTAGATCCATGTAACACAGCTGTACCCATGGAAAGCTCCACTGAAGTCAGCGGGGATTCAAGAGTCTGTTCTAAGGATGTTAAAATGTGGTTAATTGACTAGTCAACAGGCACTTCCACACTCCTCCTTTGAAGTGTACAAGAGCCCCAATGGAAAATTGGAACTCTGCGTGCTGCCCAGGGCCAGCGGGAAGTCCCACTGACTCCGGGCTGCATGGGGAGACCCCAGGGGCTCTTGTGCATATCAAATACATGGAGCCCAGAATCAGCAAGAGACTCCGAGTCCTTCGGGATCAGCGCTGCAGATTTTGGGTTCTGGAGAAATGCCACTGGGAATCCCCAGCTGATCCCAGGCTCTATGGCAGCTACCCCTTTAAAATGCCGCTTCTGGCATTTCAAAGGGGTAGCTGCTGTGGAGCCCAGGGTCAGCTGGGGACTCCCAGTTGATCCGGGCTCTGTGCAACAGCAGAACCCGGGGTCAGCTAGGGACTCCCAGCTGATCCCGGGCTCGCTGTGGCAGCGGAACCCAGGGTCAGCTGGAGAGTCCCCAACTGTGCAGCACTTCCACTTTTAAGTACCTTTCCCCCCACTGCCTCTCTCTCATAGAGGCAGCGGGGAGCAGGGGGGAATCGACTAGTCAAAAGACTATCTGATAAGTTTATCGGATAATTAACTAGTCTTTAACATTTCTAGTCTGTTCACGTAGCTATACCACAAAGTAAAGCCAAAATATATAGGCACTGCCTAATTTCTATTCCAGTTGCTATTATCATTACAGGGATATGGTCAACTTACATAGCTACGGTAAACCTTTCCTTTTTAACCCACAGAGTGCCTTAAATTACTACATAAAAATGAAAGGTTTTTAAAAATTGAATTTAGTTGGTAACTAAATATGTGCTTTACTTTCTGCATTCTTCCAAGTGTAGAAAATGAAAAAAAAAACAACAATTCTACTACTGTTAACTCCTTTCACTTTCAGTGTCCTTGTACTCAACACTTGGGTTTCAAACACAGCTAGGGATGTGAAAGATTAAGCAAAATGCAGGACAATGTAGCACTTTAAAGAACAAGTCTTTGAACTTTCTCACCCATTATCAAGACAGTTTCCCCAATTATCACCTGTAATACCATTAACTCACAAACATCCCACTCTCCCTACCTCTAATATCATCAATTCACAGACACTTACCTTCCTTCCTCCCCCTTCCCACCCCCCCGCCTCCTCCTTCTGTTCTGCAATGTGATTTGTCCTTTTCATATTTGTTCTTTTTTTTAATTGTATCCTTTGGTATATATGGTTGTGACTACTTTCTTCCACTATTTGATCTGAGGAAGTGGGTCTGGCCCACGAAAGCTCATCATCTAATAAACCATCTTGTTAGTCTTTAAAGTGCTACATTGTCCTGCATTTTGCTTCAGCTACACCAGACTAACACGGCTACATTTCTATCACTACACAAAGATTAAGCAGTGAGCCTTGCCCTTAATGGGTGAAGCTTACCGGTGACAGGGTAAGGGATAGGGGCTGGAGCTGGGGGCTGAAGCAGCAGAGCCACAGCAGGCCCAGCTCAGGCATGCAGCAGGGGTGCTCCAGCCTGGCCAAAGAAGATGGAATAGCGGTTTGCTTCAGACCCCCCCCCCTTTAACTAATTACATGGGATTTTACACCCCTACACTACACAGGAAGCTTTTTCTAAGAACTATTTCTCAGTCTGATCAGGATAACTTAGGAGCAGTCTCTAGTTTGATAACTTGCCTTAAAGAAAATGATACGCCACCCGTAAGCAGGTAGCATGCCTTGAAATAATAGTACGTTTAAAAAAAAAACAAAACCTATTAGCAGGGCTTCACTCAAACAGTCATTTGTTGCAACGGCTTTGAGCCAACCCCGGGTTGTGGTTTTTAAACCCTTGCACCCAGGGGCCATGTACCACCACAGAGTCACATACCTCTTGCCTTAAAGAAAATGATACGCCACCCGTAAGCAGGTAGCATGCCTTGAAATAATAGTACGTTTAAAAAAAAAACAAAACCTATTAGCAGGGCTTCACTCAAACAGTCATTTGTTGCAACGGCTTTGAGCCAACCCCGGGTTGTGGTTTTTAAACCCTTGCACCCAGGGGCCATGTACCACCACAGAGTCACATACCTGCAGGGGATCTTCAACGTCCCCACGTGAGAGCAGAGCGACGCGAGGGGGGGGGGGGCAGATGCTGCGT